CTGCTGAGGTGTCAAGGCAAGAATGTGCCCTGTGTGTTTGTGTGCACTAAACAGACCCTGGAGCAGACCTGTGGGGTCTTCAGCCTGTAATTGCCTATGCTGTCACCAGCAAAAGAGGCTCACAGCCGAAGCAGCAGACCCAGTCCATTCAGCAGTCTGTTCAAAGGCTCTTAGTCTAACCTTTGCCTCTACCACGTTCTCTCCACTGACTCCTCACCGAGGTCCTGTGTCCTGTCGCCTGCATTAGCCGGTAGTATTTTCAGCTACATTCTATTGCTATAAAATATTGTAGTACTAAAAAAAATCTCCACCACAGAGGTCATTCACTTTTGGATGCTATTCTGAGAATCAGTCATACTAATAATAAAATATCTACAACAGGTGAACAAAAGAGTAATTTCTGTGCAAACTCAGACCTCTTTGTTAAGAATTTTTTATTTAATTTTATTCATTGTCATTATTTTATTTTATTTGTTCAAGTTGACCAGAGAAAGAAAGAGAGAGATAAGGAAAGTAAGAAAGCAAGAAGTCACCAGGTCTGGGACTCAAACTGCTATCAGCCATGTGGAAGTCCAACTACCTTAACCATCACACCACCTGCTGGCCCCCAAACCAAGACGTTTTGATCAAAGGAACAGAATAGAATGCCCAAAAACAAATAAAATTACTTTAATTAACTTAGTATTTGATAAAGGAGGCAACATACAGAAATATTTTCTCATGGACTTAGCTAAGAATGGTATGGAATAACAGGCCAGCAATTTTAGGGCTGGTGTAAGATAAGGATCTAAAGTAAATGGGGGCAGGGGACAGCAGACGGTATGACTGCCGGACTCCCACATGGCTGATTGCAGTTCGATTCCCAGACCTGGTGGCTTGAAACAGATGCCAAATGTATGTGCGTGCATACCCAAAATACCAAGAGGAGAACAGAGAAGAGACCGCAGCATAGCCATACCACCTGGGGGCGGGGGGGAGTGATTTCTCATTTCTCCCTCTATGTCTCTGTTTGTCTCTCTGGCAAGAGCATGCACTCTATATCAAAAACGTTTAAAAAATTAAAATAAGGGACCAGCAGTTAGCATAATGGCTATGTTGCTGGACTCCCATGTGGTCAACCATGGTTCAAGTCCCAGAGCCAGTGGCTTAAACTCACACTAGGCACGTGTGCGTGTGTGCCCAAGATCCCGAGAGAATGGAGAAGGGATTGTGGCGTGGTCATCCCACCTGGGGGGGTGATTTCTCACTTTCTGCCTCTCTGTCTCTCTCTGTCTCTCTGGCAAGCGCACACACCCTATAGCAAAAACCTCTCCAAAAAAAAAAAAATTAAAAATTAAATTAAATAAATAACCTCAGCTAAGTTCAGGTTTTTGTTTTAGTTTGGCTGTTTTATATGACTTGATTGTTAAAAAACTAATAGATGTTAGGAATTGCTTGCAAGTCCTTTCTTTTTTAAAGAATTATTATATTAACTTTTTATTTATTTATTTATTTAAATTTGACCAGAGGGGACCAACCAGTTGACATAATGGCTGTGTGGCTGGACTCCCATTTAGTCAACTATAGTTTGATTCCCAGGTCCAGCAGCTTAAACTCAAGCCGAGCGCTTATGTGTGTGTGTACCCAAGATCCCAGGAGGAGAATAGAGAAGGGGTTGCAGCATGGCCATCCCCCTTAGGGGGTGATTTCTCGCTTTCTGTCTCTGTCTTTCTGGCGAGTGTACATGCCCTTTAGCAAAAACCTCATAAATAAATAGATAAATAGACAGATATATGGATGGATGGATGGATGGATGGATGGATGGATAGATAGATAGATAGATAGATAGATAGATAGATAGATAGATAGATAGATAGATAGATAGATAGATAGATAGATAGATAGATAGATAGATAGATAGATAGATAGATAGATAGATGGATGGATGGATGGATGGATGGATGGATAGATAGATAGATAGATAGATAGATAGATAGATAGATAAATTTGACCAGAGAAAGAGCGAGAAAGCGAGAGAGAGGGAAAGTGAGAAAGCAAGTCACTAGGTCAGGGACTCCCACGGGAGAGAGAGACAGACAGACACAATGAGAGAGAAAGTAAGAAAAAAATACCCCAGGGTGAGACGGCCAAGCAGCAATCCCTTCCCCTCCATTCCCCTCCTGGGATCTTGGGCACGCATGCACACAGGCCCGGCAGGAGTGTAAAGGCACCGGGACTCAAACTACAGTGGACCAGGTGGAAGTCCAGCAACATAACAGCTATGTCATCTGCTAGTCCCTGTTCGCAGTTCCTTTAAGACACCCAAAAGTACAACCACTGCCAACTTAATGCAACCAATGAGAGCTACAAGAAACCCCTGTGTGCCTGTGTCCTGCAGCTGGGTGATGACAGGTGTAAATCAGAGTGAAGACACTGCTCGGTGTTCCTGTCTGTCTCTCACTCGAGGAAAAAATTAACTTTCTGGAAAAAAAAAAAAAAGCCTGAGACACTACTACTAAATATAATGTCATATTCTAGATGGATCTTAAGGCAGAAAAAAAGACACTAGGTAAAAACTAAAGAAATCTGAGTAACACGTAGTCTGTAATTAATACTAACACGTGGATCGTTAATTGTGGCAAATGTACTATGAGAATTTAAAAAACAGGGGAAACTGGGGGGGTAGTATACAGGAACTATCTGTACTACAGTCATAATAATTCTGTAAATCTGAAACTGTTCCAAAGTAAAAAGATTTTTTTCATCCTAATCACGATTTTTTAATTATTTTTATTTAACTTCATTTATTTATTTTTATTTGACCAGAGAGGGACAGAGAGAGAAGAGAGAAAGTGAAAAAGCAAGCCACCAGGTCTGGGACTCAGATCGTGGTTGGCCATGTGGGAGTCCAGCGCCCCTAACCACCAATGCCACCTGCTGGCCCCCACAAGTATTTTTAATCATATAAAGTTTTGTTCTAATTTTTAAATTTTTGCCAGAGAGCACATGATTGCAAAGGTGAGGGAGTTAGAAAGCACCCCTTAAGGGGATAGTCACACCACAAATGCTTCTCCATTTCTCTCTCCTTAAGGGATTTTGGGCATGCACATACATGTGTCCAGTATGATTTTCAAGCCACTGGGTCCAGGACTCAAATCGTACAGTCAGCCACAAGGGATCTATTTATTTACTTATTCTCAATTTGACCAGAGACGGGCAGCATGAGAAAGAGAGAGGGAATGTGAAAAAGCAAGCTGCCAGGCCCAGGACTCAAACTGTGGTCAGCCATGTGGAAGTCCAGCACCCTCAACCACCACACCACCTACCAGCCCCAAGGTATATATAACTTAAAGTCCTTAAATATATAAAAATGAATTGAGAGGGACCAGCAGTTAGCGTAATGACTATGTTGCTGGACTCCCACGTAGTCGACCGCGGTTCGCGACACGGACCCGGTGGCTTAAAACTCATGCTGTGCGTGCCCAAGATCACGAGAGGAGACTGGAGGAGAAGGGATTGCGGCGTGGCTATCCCCCCTGGGGGGTGATTTCTCGCTTTCTGTCTCTCTGTCTCTCTCTGTCTGTCTGGCGAGCGCACGTGCCCTATAGCAAAAACCTCTCCAAAAATATAAAAAAAAAAAAAAATCGAGAATAAAGTTGAATAAGCAAAAGACCAGAGTCATCCAAAAAGAACTGCAATGTATTAAAAAATGGTAATAAAGAAACATTTTAAATACTAAAACAGGCATCATTTAAGTTATAAAACTGTTCTACAAAAATACCAGTGACAGCAATGTTACAGTTTAAACCATTTCACCTATATGGTATTGTTAGCTATGTACACTGATAAAACCCTTCCAAGAGTTTTGTGGACTAAATCCTGTCTCCCTCTCCTCCCTAATTCTCCAATTTACAAGTCAAAGCCTAATTTCCAATGTGATGGTGTTTAAAGATGAAGCCTTCAGAAGGTCATTAAGTTGCTTGTTAGGAGAACAGGGCCCTCATGATGGGAGTCAGACCCTTTATAAGAAAAGACACCAGAGAGTTTGCTCCCTCTGTGTAAGCCAAGTAAGGACAAAACACAGAAGCAGCAAGCCAGGAAGACCCTCCCCAGAACCCTGACTGGCTGTACAGAAACTCTCATCCCAGCCTCCCCCGTGAGGAAATAAATTCCTATTTATTCTATTGTATTTAGTCTACCATATTCTGTTAGTCTACTTAGTCCACTATGTCCTGTTATGACAACGCAAACTGACTAATACAGAAAGGTAACTTGAGACATGGAAAAAGCAGTAAGCATAGTCATCTCTCTTAATCCAGCTGCCTTGCATCTATGATGTCAACCTTTGGAAACCAATCAAAAATAGGACAAAGCTATCCACATGAAAATATTCACTACTTACTGGTTTTTAAACAGTAACAATCCAAATGTCTGACTATGGAGAAGTAGAAAAGTAAATTGTGGTATTCCATTTGCTTTAATATGATTTAGTCATTTAAAAGTATTACAAAACCTATATATGATTACAGTAAGTGCATGAAATAAAATTAACTGCAACCAAAAGTAAAAATGTATGACATGAGACTAATTATGTAAATAAGCATTAAAAGAGCTAGCTCTAAACAAATTGTTGAAAACCATTTTCTTTTAATGTAATAAATGTTTTAAGAAATAATACTCAAAAACATACTTGAGAGTAACATCAAATAGATTCTTCCTTAAGTATAATCACATCATAACTAGTAAATTACAGAGAAGTGACTTTTTCTCACAGCGATCACTACTCTTGAAAATATAAGAATATTTACATTTTATATTTATACTTTATATACCATCGATTTTTCTTTGCTATACATTTTGCTATTATGTTATTACTTACATAGAGATGTTTTCCAAGGCATCTTCAAAGATGTCCTGGGGAGGAATAAAAAATAAAATGAGTTTCTCAAGAATCAAGAATTCTTTTTTCTTGGTAGCATATTAACTTTTCAGAAAGACAAAGAGAAAGGGAGAGAGCACCCTGGATGGGCATGGTCATGCGACAATCCCTTTTCCTCCACTTCTCCATCCCATCAGGATTTGGGGCACATAAGCACACACGTACCTGGTATTTTTTTTTTCTTTAAGAATTTTATTTAACTTCATTTTATTTATTTATTTATTTATTTATTTATTTATTTTAATTTGATCAAAAAGGAACAGAGTGAGAAAGCAAGAAAGCAACCCACCAAGTCCAGGACCCGAACCACAGTCATCCATGGGAGAGTTCAGCGCCCATGCTACCTGCCACCACCACCCCAACTTGGTATGTGCTTCAAGCCTGAGGATCTAGGACTCGAACTGCCTCATTGGCTATGTGGGATCCAGTTTCCCGCAACTACTAGACCACAGGACCAGCCCAAGAATCTAAACATAAAAGCTAAAGTGTGTGTGTGTGTGTGTGTGTGTGTGTGTGTGTGTGTGTGTTTAGGGGTTGGGGGGACAAGTTTTGGTCAAAGGGTAAAGCATACAATAGAACCATTCAACTAACAGAATTCTATTCACACAAATCAAGCATATGAACAGAGGTTGAATTTTTTCTAAGATTAGTAAAATGCTCAGCTAGAGATCAAGCTGAGCTGATTTAAAGAGAGTGTGATTTCTTTATTGGACTTTATCTTTCACTCCTCAGTCTCATTTATCCCAGATATAGAATAAAACAAATAATTAGACTTGTCCAAGTTGGTCTTCTCCAGGCAAGCCAAGTTAGCACCCTCTGCACCTTCACTTCACAACTCACTGCACTACCCCTCCTAGCCAGTCTTAATACAGTCTTTCCCCCTGTTTAATCTGTGCCACATGGGACAGCCCTTTCCTTCCTGCCACTGGCCTGTTCAAAAGTTCTAACAGGAGAAAAGTCCAAACATATACACACACTCACAAATCCACACATGCACACCACACACACACTGACTCAAACATCATCTCACACACAAATTCAGTCATACACACAGAATCCACAGACATATACACTCACTCAAAAGCTCACACAAACACAAAATTTCCCTCAAGGCAACATAAAACCATACCCGGCTCCTCTCCCAGGTGCTTAAGCGCGACTGTAAGCCACACCCTTCTGTCCACATCCTTACCGCTACCACCCTAGGACAAGCCCCAGTTCCTCCATAAATGCCACCTCACTGCCTCCCTACTTCCATGCTTGACACCCTCCATTCAATTCTCCACCCAACAGTCACAGTTATTCTTTGTTTCTCTTTTAGTGGGCACACACCATTCCCCTGATCTAGACCTCTTTTAAAACTTTCCTTTGCCTTTAGAATAAGCTCAAACTCCTTCCCACAGTCTACAGGGCCCTACGTGGCTCCACCAGCCTCTGGCGAATCTCCATCATCCTGCCCTTGCTCACTCCACTTCAGCCACAGGTCTTCCTTTCTGTTCCTTGAGGAAGCCAAAGGCATCCTACACTTCTCATCGTTCCCATCTTACTTAGAACACCCTTCACTAACTCTTCCAATGGCTGACTCCTCATCTTTTGGTTTTCAGTTCCAAAAGTCACCTCCTCCAAGAGGTGATCTCCCATTTCTCTGACCGCCCTAATTACAATGATTAAGAATAGCAGTTTACTGGGACCAGCAGTTGGCGTAATGGCTATGGCACTGGACTCCGATGTAGTCGACCACAGTTCAAATCCCAGACCCACGCGCCAGGCACGTGTACATGTGTGCCCAAGATCCAGAGAGGATAATGAAGGAGACGGGATTGCGGGGTGGCCATCCCCCCTGGGGGGTGATTTCTTGCTTTCTGTCTCTCTGTCTCTCTCTGTCTGTCTGGCGAGCGCAAGCGCCCGATAGCAAAAGCCTCTAATCGTCTTCCTTGTTTACTTGCTTACGGTCAGTCTCCATCAGGGCAGGCTCTTGTTATCATATACCCTGAGAAGCTGCCCAGGCTTGGTACAGTTGTTGCTCAGGTTGCACCTTAGTTTAGAGCTATGATACAGACATGAGGAACAACAGGTAGAGAATTCATGCCTTGTGTGACCCTTAAAACTGAGTATTGTGTATACCATACTAGATTCTGCATCTAGGCAGGAAAGAAAAATATATATATACATACTAAAAAGAAGAAGCAAAGTAATAAAGAACAGCAGAACTAAGTTTAGAATTTGGGATTCCACCCTAGGACTCTACATTAATTCCATATACTCTGTAAGAGAGGCCAACGTCAAGAGCTAGCACATGGGTTACCAGGCAGGGAATTAAGGAGAAAGGGAGAGAACATGCTCTCCAGGAACCCAAAGCTGGCTGTAATAACCACCTGCCCATACCAGAGACAAACTCACAGTCCTTCTGGCATCTCTGCTGACCTTTACCAAGTAAGAGGGCGTCTGTGCCTTCTGCCCACTCCCTTTATACACAGACACACTGAAACAGTAAGTGGGCTCGCAAAGGATAATAACTTGGGAAGCCAACTCTCCATTTAAAAGGGGACAAAACTAGTATTTCATTTAAACAAGAAATACCCTACCTCTAGCCTCAAAAAAAAAAAAAGTCTAATAAATCCTCTTCACTTTAAGCAATATCTGTCCATTTTGTTGAAACAGTAGTTTAATGCAGAGTTCTCTAAATAAAACATACATAACAAAAGGTGAAAAAATTTAACGTTAAGAAGAAGAAAAGTGAGCCAGCCCTGTAGTCTAGTGGTTAGGGGAGCCAGATCCCACATGGCCAACTATGCAGTTTGAGTCCCAGACCCAGCCACCTAAAAACGCCAAACACATGGGCAATCATGCCCCAAAATCTCAACAGGATGGAAAAATGGAGAAGGGATTGGAGCATGACCCCATTGAATTGAGGGGGAGGTGCTTTCTTCCTCTCCCTTCTCTTTTTCTGTCTCTCTATGGCAAGCACTTGCTCCCTCTGGCAAGTTAAAAGAAGAACCACCTAAGATAGAGTGCCTATCATGTACCAGGCACTTGACAAACCCATCTCATTGCTCCTCCCAACTCACAGCAAGCAAATCCAGCTGCAGGTCATTACCTGCCCAATATTACACAGCTAATAAGTGACGAACTGGGGTCTGATCTCAGATTTCTTTAAATCCAAAACATTTTTTTAATGTTTACAAAAACTTAGAAATGAGGCAGCTGGGCAGGATGGGCAGGGGCTGGGAGGTCGAGAAGTAGATATCCTCTCTGTCACACTGCAGCACTATGTGACAAAGCCTCCCAAGGGTTCACTCTCTAAGAGAACAAACTTGTGTTTAACTTCACTCTGACTATAGTTAGAGTCCAGACACTGTGAAATTAGGTTAACTTATAAATTTCTAAATGGTAGAAAACATGATCACAAAGATTTAGTTTAATGACCTGTCGGATGTTACTCAACTTTATGTATCATCTAACAATGTTAATCTAACATCTTTTTTTTAAGTCAATAAATAAATAACCAGCTCCTCAATACCCTTGGAATCAGTTTATCATCTTGTGGGAGGCTGAGCACCAGCGAGTCTGACGAGGTTTCTCAGAGAGCAAACGATTGCCATGATTGGTTCCCTTCAAAAAACCTGACCTTCGAAACTTTTCTCTGATTGGCCACTAGAATCCCTCAAATTTGCATATCTGGCACCTCATGATTGGTCCAAAAGCAACCAATCATAACCCACCGTTCACAACCAATCACGGCCCACCATTTACAACCAATCACAGCCCACCGTCCCCCCCAGCGTGTATGTAACCACGATGCCTGGCCCACAGTAGCCAGACGACCAGGAAGATGACAACAACCAGGAAGACAATGACCAGGAAGACAATGACTGAAGAGCCTGAAGAGCTGAAACACCGCACAGTCTCCAGACGACCTTGAAGATCCTGAAGAGCTGACACTGCATCGTCTCCAGACGACCTGGGAGACCCTGAAGAGCTGTAACACTACATCTCCGGATGACTCTGAAGAGCTGTGACACTGCATCGTCTCTGTGCTGCTCACAGTAGACGACGCGACCCTTAAGAGCTGTGACACTGCGTCCTCTCTGTGCTGTACCGTGCTGCCCACAATAAACGGACGACACTGTCATCTCCGTGCTGTAACACTACACCGCTTGTCCCGGCTCTCACTCCTTCACTCAGGAAACCTGTTCGGCTGTCCCCCCAGGTCGGGACATCATCTCACTGGTTTCCTCATTTGATAGGTTAAATAAAATATTGTCATATTCATTTTATATCTTTATGAGAATCATACTTCTAATTTGGGGAAATAATATTTTGACACCAACAGCAACACCATACTCCCTCTAGATACCTGAGAATACAATTGCTCAACTCCTGGGGGAAACTGATGTACGTTCTGCCCGGGGGTTGAAATGCCACAAATCAAAGAAACTGTCACCACATATCACCAAAGGTTTCCTTGTTCTGTCTATCTAGAACCCAACACCAACTCAAAACCTATCCCTTTCCTACTGCCACCTCAGGGAGCTCCTTCAGTGACAGTCTCATCGAGACTTCAGGTTTCTGGGAACCAGCAGTTAGCATAATGCCTATGTCGCTGGATTCCCACGTAGTCGACCATGGTTCGCGTCCCAGACCCGATGGCTTAGAACTCACACCGGGCACGTGTGCGTGCGTGCCCAAGATCCCGAGAGGAGAATGGAGGAGAAGGGATTGTGGCGTGACCATTCCCCCTGAGGGGAGATTTCTCGTTTTCTGTCTCTATGTCTCTCTCTCTGTCTGTCTGGCGAGCGCACACACCCTATAGCTAAAAAAAAAAAAAAAAAATAAAAAGACTTCAGGTTTCGCACTTGATCTGCCGCTCACTGCTGGGCCATTCTCCCCCGTGACAGAACCAGACTTTTCTACCCACAGTCTCTTTGCTTCTTCATATTCACCATCAACTTCCCAGAGCTACTTGAATGTTGGTTGTCACTCCCTCATGATTACCTTAAGCTGGTTTCTCTCAACCTCCATCCTGCTTTTTTTTTAGTCATGCGTGCCCCAATTACTCACATGTATAGTAAGAGAAGTAGCCAGACTCTTCCTAATTTATGGAAAGTAAGACATGACAACGCATGCTGCCGACAAATATGTGTTTATAGGAAAGCCCCTATGTGTATTTCCTCCTTGAAGGCAGCTGTATTTGCCTCCCCTCACCCATGGCAGGGCCAATCTTGAGGGGCTACTGCCTTAGGTACAGTATAATGAATGTCTTCATTGAACCACAATTGGCTCCTAATCATGCATTGCCTCAAAAGGTGCCTAAGTTGTTCAAAAGCCTATCTCAACTCCCTAGCTGGAGTCAAGGACTCTTACACTGTTTTTTGTTTTTGTTTTTGGAGAGGTTTTTGCTATAGGGCACATGCGCTCGCCAGACAGACAGAGAGAAACATAGAGACAGAAAGCGAGAAATCACCCCTCAGGGGAGATGGTCACACCGCAATCCTTTCTCCTCCATTCTCCTCTCGGGATCTTGGGCATGCACGCACACGCGCCCAGCATGAGTTTTAAGCCACCAGGTCCGGGACACGAACCATGGTCGACTATGTGGGAGTCTAGCGACATAGCCATTATGCTAACTGCTGGTTCCCTCTTACACTGTTTTCAAATCTACTTTATAGTAGCTTGTACTTTGTACCAAGACACGTAGCAAATAATTGGTAGTTTGCAGGCTGACGGAGTACCCTTGATTAGAGATAGAAGGTCTTTACCACTTGCAGTTTCATTTTGCACTTAAGTAAATGGACTGACTGTCCAGTGAAGGATTCTCTAAGTGAGCTAAGAGATGCAAGCTAGCATCCCAGGGCCTGCTCCCTGCTGGGAGGGTGGCCTGAAACCTACCAATACCCCAGATAAATAAGGACTCTGATCACAGAAACCAGCAAAGAGGAGGAAAGCTGATAAGGTGCTGCATCAACTACCAAGCTTTTTCAAACTATTTTCTTCTTAATTTGCTAACTTTGTCATGTTCTGAGTAGCCAAAATGCATGCAAGTGCATTTAAGTCATAACAGAACCTTAATAAGTGTTTAAGACTCTTAATAAAGCAGTATACTGAGCTCCATAGAGATAGCGCCGGGGCAAGTGAGAGTCGGACGGGCACTGGGCGACTCTGTGCCTCACGGAGGAAAGATAACTAAACATGGGCAAAGGAGATCCTAAGAAGCCGAGAGGCAAAATGTCATCATATGCATTCTTTGTGCAAACTTGCCGAAGGGGCACAAGAACAAGCACCCAGATGCTTCAGTCACCTTCTCAGAGTTTTCTAAGAAGTGCTCAGAGAGGTGGAAGACCATGTCTGCTAAAGAGA